CTAGGAAAGGTTCACTAGAGCTTCCGCATCTGAGCGTTTTTATGCAGGAAGACGGCGGCGCCTGTGGCCAAAGCCATTCCCACAGCACAGAGACTCGGAGTGTAAAGATACCCAACACTCAGATTCTGCCCTAGGTCTCGGTCCAGGTCCTGGTCCTGGCATAGGATCTGAATGCCTGAGAGCTTATGGAGACCTACTGTGACAGGGGCCCCAGACCTGTCTGGAGGAAGCTTCCACCAGATTCCTGCTAGCTAGCCACGGGAATGAAGCCCAAAGTTCAGTTTTGCAAGACGATCCTATTTCAAGACCCCCATCCACAAAGAAAGGTGTGATGAACGTAAAGGGTCCCAGAGAGCCCACCTAAAACTGAAGTGAATGAAACAGGTGAAAGGGGCTAAAGATGAGGCCGGGAGCCCCATGTGATGGTGCATGCCAGCAATCTCAGAGACTGAGATACAGGCAGCAGGATCACCACAAGTTCAAGGCTAGCCTGGCTACAGAGTTTGAGGTCAGCCAGTAAAGCGAGACTCTGTTTTAAACCAAAACATAGAAAGAAAGAGAAGATTTATTTATTTTGACGGCCTAAAACTGGACGAATGAGGGACCCATGTGAACGAAGAGAGACTGGCTCTCTCCCATACTTCCTTATGTTGCTGCGGGAAATGTGGATGGTTCTTGTAACTGTCTGGACATTGTCTAACTGCTGGCCACCATTAGTATGAGCCTTTCCTGTGAAACCAAGAGCCAGCACCCCACTTCCACCTTTGGATCTCAGTCATTCCCTGAAATGTCTTTACACAACTCTTTGTGTTTCTTACTTCAATAATCTGATGATGTTGGGAGAAATAAACACTCAACTAAAAATATATTGCTCAGCTCCCATTTGCAGTAATTAGTCATGTGATACTGTTTTGGCCAATGAGGGGTAAGAGTGTAGAATTTTTTTTCTAGGACATATCCTTAAAGGAGATGGAGACTAAAGTGATCCTCTGGCTTTTCCTACTTGCACTTTGAGCTTGACATTAGAAATTAGAGCAACCATATTGTGACTATGAGGCCATAAGGAATGCTGGACAGAAGAATAAAGGAAGTCTAGTCCCTGATAGAATACCCAGCTACTGAGTCTTCATGTCTTCACTGTGGGACACAATCCTAACAAATACCGAAACTTTGCAAATAAAGAAGAAAGTCTTGGTTTATTTGGATGGCTGGTTTTGGTTTGGGGTTTTTTGTTTGTTTTGTTATTTGGCTTTTCCAGACAGGGTTTCTCTGTGTAGCCCTGGCTCCCTGGAACTTGCTCTGTAGACCAGGCTGGCCTCAAACTCACAGAAATCTGCCTGCCTCTGCCTCCCGAGTGCTGGGATTAAAGGGATGTGCCACCATGCCCAAAGACTTGGTTTTAACATGTGCAGACTGCCTTAGCCACACGGTGTAGGCCACATAAATGCCCAGTCAAAGACTTGGTTTTAACATGTGCAGACTGCCTTAGCCACACGGTGTAGGCCACATAGTTTCTATCCTCTGCAGCTTCAGCTCTTAGAACCCCTGCCCTTCAACAAAGGGGACCGAGACCTGTCAAAGCCCTGCCCAGTGTAGGTTTCCTACATGAAGAGGCCTCTGGTAAGCAATTCACCTGTAGAAAACCAAGAGATCAAATGTTACCTCTTAGAGGGCCATTCTCACAAAGGTGTCCCCACATGTAGCCTCTACCAGACACCTTGCTGGTACTAACATGACAATAAACCTGATGTCCACACCATGTATAGCCCTTCTGGTGGGAGCAGGGAGAAGCAGACACAGCATTGGCCCTGCCAGCTCAAGAGGAAGAAGAGCCTAGAACCCTGTGGGCTGGGGCTGCTTCGGGAAGAGGCAGGGCTTGGGTTAACAGGCTAAGAAGGGAGCCTGGAGCATCACCAGCAGAACCTTGAGGTTCTTTGTCTGCTCTTAAAAGTGTGACTTGGGCAGATAGACCACACACCTGGGTCAATGTTAGCTCCTACCTGGAATCCCAGCAAGAAGTGGGCCCTTAGTAAGTCCTTATACAACCACCCAGCCTGGAGGCTGGCCAGCATGGCCTGAGGGAATAGTCCCTGCATCGTCTTGAGCCATCTGAGAGAGTCTTAATTGGCCAGCACATTCCTGAGGAGACAGCCATCGCTTCTCACCTATGTCTAGCTTCCAGATTTGTCTCACCATCTGATTTATGAGTAGTGGGATTACTGTAGACATGAGCTCACTGGGGCTCTCCGGGTGGCCAGGGTGGAGTAGGGGCCACCCGAGCATCTCTGAGCTCCCAGCCTTCTCAGTTTCTCCACAACCATTATGGGCCCTAGCCCCACAGATTGAGGGTAGTAGGACCCTGAGAATGCTGCTCTTTCTAGAGGCCCCAGAGGCAGGGGAGGGTCTCTGCTCATCCTGAATCCCCTCTCCCACACCCACTACTCAAGTGAGATGCTGCAGAGTTCTGAGCTGTTAAGTTCCCTGGACTGATGGAAACTAAGGACTCTCACTTAGAAGTACTCTTCAGGGTATTTCTGCCCCTTTTGTTTATCCATAGATGAGAAACCTATGTAAGATTTTACAGCACTCAGTAAGAGAAAACACCAGGACCGCTGCTTCCTCGTTGGTTGGTGGACGGTACAGAAGAACCTGGCTACTTGTTAACACTTGGAGAACAAAGCTTTAGCCTCTGCTGAAGCCTCTCTCTCTCTCTCTCTCTCTCTCTCTCTCTCTCTCTCTCTCTCTCTCTCACACACACACACACACACACACACACACACACACACACACACACACTGAAGGGGCACATAAATCCTTTTTAAGTTTTTCCTGCTGTCATGTTTCTCACATGAACCTGAGATCTTTGAGCTGGTGTGTTTCCATTGTGAAGGCCCAAGGGCAGTTCTTTAAGGCAAGGAATGGAGAAAGAGAGCAAGCAAAGAAAGGAGAGAATGCTTCGTGTTTGAGAACTCTGCAGGGGACCAGAGACATGGCTCAGAGGTTAGGATGGCTCAGAGGTTAGGAGCACCGGCTGCTCTTCCAGAGGTCCTGAGTTCAATTCCCAGCAAACACATGGTGCCTCACAACCATCCATAATGAGATCTGGTGCCCTCTTCTGGCCTGCAGACATACATGCAGTCAGAACACTATATACATAATAAATAGATAGATAAATAAATAAATAAATAAATCTGAGGAAGGAAGGAAGGAAGGAAGGAAGGAAGGAAGGAAGGAAGGAAGACTTCTGCTGCCCTAGCACATAGGATGGGAAGCAGCTGGGAAGAAACCAAGATACAGGGAAGTTGACAGTCCCAGCTGTGGTGGTAGGAACAAAGTCCTATCAAGGAACTGATAACACTTCCAAGACCCCCAAAGTCAAGCTCCAAACCAGTCTGCCAAGCTAGTTTCCTCAGCCACATGAAAGACATCACTAGAACTGCGTGCAGCACTAGGAAGGAGGCTCCACTTGCGTTTGCTGTCACAGATGTAGCTCAGGGGTGTACTGTGAGTATCCTAGATCCAAGGGGTATCATAAATTCCTCCCCAACCTTGGGAACCCAGAAAAGATCCTATTTAACTAGAAGTCCAATTCAGAGTCACACCCCACCCCCACCCCCAGTGTCTAGCCTGAAGTTTAAAACTGCTTGATTATTTGAGGTCAACTCTCCTTTCCTGAGGTCACTCAAATTCTGCGATGCACTTTCTAGAGCCCAGGAGGCAGGCCACAGAGAGAGCCCTTAGCCTGGGGTACATTCAACTTTCCTTCCAGCATCCCACAGGCCTTTCTTCTCAGCGCTGAAGTGCAGTGGTTTGAAAGAAAATGTTCCCCAAAGGGAGGAACACTATTAGGAGGTGTGGCTTTGTTGACATAGGTATGGCCTTGTTGAAGGAAGTACGTCATTGTGGAGGCAGGCTTTGAAGTCTTCTTTGCTCAAGCCATGCCCGGTGGTTCAGACTGCTTCCTGTTGCCTGCACAAGACGTGGAACTCTCAGCAACCTCTCCAGCACCTTGTCTGCCTACAAGCTGCCATATCCTGCCACAATGATCGTGGCAGGATATGAAAATGTAAGATACCCAAATTAAATGTTTTCCTTTATAAAAGTTGCTGTGGTCATGGTATCTCTTCACAGCAATAGAAACCCTAACTAAGACAGTTCAGTCTAATAGAAGAAAACGACACTTCAGACATACAACACATTCCCCCTTAACATTGCAAACACCTCCATTGAAAGATGACTTAAAGAAATAAGAACCTTTTCTGAGACCATGCAGGCAAATGAGTGATGGATGGATACACCCCGAGAAAGTGGACAGACTAAGGAGTCAGCAGTGGCAAACCCAGGAGGGTGATGAGTCACACAGGAGCCAGAGCAGTGCCTGAGGATAAAGGGTGGTGATGAACTGCAAGGGGATTTTGTAAAGCAGCATCCCTGTCTGATTCTCAGGTGTCCCCCACCTCCTCCTTCCTTAGTATCTGCTGGCAACCTAGTCCTTTACATCCACTGAGGCAAATGTGATTAGCCTTCTTGCTATTGGCTGTTTCCCTGACTTGATGAAATATGGTAATTTACAGAGTACTGTGGGTCAGGCACTGAGACGGCTGCTCTGGACATGCCATCTCATTGGATCTCCCCAACTTTACAGGCTGGATGGCATCTCTCGCATCAGACAGATGAGGTGTGTATGGCTCTCAGATTGATGAGTCTTACCT